GAGACACAGTAGATGGAGCACTGACATAAAGAATGGATAGAACATTGGCCAAAAAACACAACTAATGGATTACCAACAGAGAGACCTGAAAAGAACTCTCAGAGTAACTGCACTCTGACAGAGCTCTTCTTTAAAAATTGTTTTTATTACAGCAGAAGTAAAGTCTCTGGAGAAACCAACATACATCTAGCTGAACTAGGAATTTTGAAACTAAGAAAAGATATGGAACAAAAACAATGTTGTTGACCAAATCTTAATTAGAAGGGACATTTACTGTGGTGATCTGTTCTTATTCTAAATGTACAACTGCTCATTACTTGGCCTGTACCATAACTCACAGCAGAGACTTGCCACCTGTCATTTTCTATCCATACTCCTCTATTAACTGTTGTATAAAACAGAATTCTGAATTTAAATGATGCAATAAATGCAATACAATCTAGTGATTTGTTTTTACAAGGTGTATATATGATAGGGTGTTGAATTCTAGGTAACCAAACACACTAGTTAAATCTTGGTCATGTCATAGTTGTGAGCTTTTATTTTGGTAAATTGTACACAAATGTATCGCTTTTCTAAATGTAAAGTTCACTTCCAAGTCACAGAATCCTGCTCTGTTACAAGAGATCCAACGTACTCCATGTTAGCAGCAGGGGTTGGGAGAAATAGAGAGAGGCAACTTTATTAACTATGAGTGACTTTATGCCACATACAATTTGATTTTAGTCTGCTGGCATTTTGGGAATCTTGATTTCCAAATATACCAGCTCACTTTAAAAATATTCCAATGAGTCATGAACCTGCGCCCTTTTTTATGCTTTAATTTCTTCTGTTTCACCTATGGTTTTCTTGTTTTAATCACGTTAAAAAAAAATAGAAAACAAGTGAAATTTATAATATTAATCTAGGCAAGTGAAAAAAAATTTGGTTTGCTTTGTGATTCAGAGTTAGAATTCCCATTTATATTCTGAATAAAACAATCATTCTAACAAGCAAACAAAAGAGTTAATTATGGATAAATCACATAGTGAACAAACATGGCAAAGTATGAATTGATTTTTTAATGAACTGAATTTTGAATAGTTGGAATTAGTTTTTACAAAATCAGCTGTTTTGGTCTTGAAGGGACACTATATGCAACATAAGCACTTCAATGGATTAAAGTGGTTCCTGCAGTCTGTAGGCAGCTGGTCTCGCATCACTACTATACAACATATTCATCCAGCATCCAATTATGATATGACAGAGGCTGAGCTATGTTACCACCGTACACCAGACCAGTTCGTACCAGAGATTATGGCAGTGGCTAAAGATCATAGCCAATCACAGCCTGCTACACCTGAAATGAGGCACACCCTATCTGTCACACTATATAGCCATGAATCCAAACCCTATCTGTCACACTATGTAGCCCTGAATCCATACCCTATCTGTCACACTATATAGCCCTGAATCCACACCCTATCTGTCACACTATATAGCCCTGAATCCACACCCTATCTGTCACACTATATAGCCCTGAATCCACACCCTATCTGTCACACTATATAGCCCTGAATCCACACCCTATCTGTCACACTATGTAGCCCTGAATCCATACCCTATCTGTCACACTATATAGCCCTGAATCCACACCCTATCTGTCACACTATATAGCCCTGAATCCACACCCTATCTGTCATACTATGTAGCCCTGAATCCCCTATCTGTCACACTATGTAGCCCTGAATCCATACCCTATCTGTCACACTATATAGCCCTGAATCCACACCCTATCTGTCACACTATGTAGCCCTGAATCCATACCCTATCTGTCACACTATATAGCCCTGAATCCACACCCTATCTGTCACACTATATCGCCCTGAATCCACACCCTATCTGTCATACTATGTAGCCCTGAATCCATACCCTATCTGTCACACTATATAGCCCTGAATCCACACCCTATCTGTCACACTATATCGCCCTGAATCCACACCCTATCTGTCATACTATGTAGCCATGAATCCATACCCTATCTGTCACACTATATAGCCCTGAATCCACACCCTATCTGTCATACTATGTAGCCCTGAATCCATACCCTATCTGTCACAATATATAGCCCTGAATCCACACCCTATCTGTCACACTATATAGCCCTGAATTCACACCCTATCTGTCACACTATATAGCCCTGAATCCACACCCTATGTCATACTATATAGCCCTGAATCCACAACCTATCTGTCACACTATATAGCCCTGAATCCACACCCTATCTGTCATACTATGTAGCCCTGAATCCACACCCTATCTGTCACAATATATAGCCCTGAATCCATACCCTATCTGTCACACTATATAGCTCTGAATCCATACCCTATCTGTCACACTATATCGCCCTGAACCCATACCCTATCTGTCACGCTATATAGCCCTGAATCCACACCCTATCTGTCACACTATATCGCCCTGAATCCATACCCTATCTGTCACACTATATAGCCCTGAATTCACACCCTATCTGTCATACTATATAGCCCTGAATTCACACCCTATCTGTCACACTATATAGCCCTGAATCCATACCCTATCTGTCACACTATATAGCCCTGAATCCATACCCTATCTGTCATACTATATAGCCCTGAATCCACACCCTATCTGTCACACTATATCGCCCTGAATCCACACCCTATCTGTCATACTATGTAGCCCTGAATCCACACCCTATCTGTCACAATATATAGCCCTGAATCCATACCCTATCTGTCACACTATATAGCCATGAATCCATACCCTATCTGTCACACTATATAGCCATGAATCCAAACCCTATCTGTCACACTATATAGCCATGAATCCATACCCTATCTGTCACACTATATAGCCATGAATCCAAACCCTATCTGTCACACTATGTAGCCCTGAATCCATACCCTATCTGTCACACTATATAGCCCTGAATCCACACCCTATCTGTCACACTATGTAGCCCTGAATCCATACCCTATCTGTCACACTATATAGCCCTGAATCCACACCCTATCTGTCACACTATATCGCCCTGAATCCACACCCTATCTGTCATACTATATAGCCCTGAATCCATACCCTATCTGTCACACTATATAGCCCTGAATCCACACCCTATCTGTCACACTATATAGCCCTGAATCCACACCCTATCTGTCATACTATGTAGCCCTGAATCCACACCCTATCTGTCATACTATATAGCCCTGAATCCATACCCTATCTGTCACACTATATAGCCCTGAATCCATACCCTATCTGTCACACTATATCGCCCTGAATCCATACCCTATCTGTCACACTATATAGCCATGAATCCACACCCTATCTGTCATACTATGTAGCCCTGAATCCATACCCTATCTGTCACACTATATAGCCCTGAATCCACACCCTATCTGTCACACTATATCGCCCTGAATCCATACCCTATCTGTCACAGTATATAGCCCTGAACCCATACCCATACAAGACATGCAGTGGAGACACTGAACTTTCCCCATAAAGATGCACTCATTCAGTGCATCTCTATGAGGAGATGCTGATTAACCACAGCAGCTTTTGTCTTGGTCCCCTGCCCCACCTCCTTGGTTGAGATAATCAGAGTTGACAATCTCAGCCAATCCATTGTTTTCCTTTGGGAAAGCATTGTGATTGGCTGAGATCATCAATTGTGATGAGGTCAGCCAAGGAGAAGGATAGGGGGCTTGATATTTTATGGTAAGATTTTACTATATTTAGGGGGCCACAGGGGCTAGACACTGATTTTAACACCTGAGGATCATGTTTGTATACATGCTTGTGTTCCTGACCTTATAGTGTTCTTGTAATATTTCCTACTCTATAGCCCAGGAGAGTTGCAGCACGGAGGATGATGCTTCATATGCCCATTGTCCATTGCAATTGTCCTGCAAGTAGATACATTAAATTCCTCATGAATGGACAAGGAGATAAATAAAACTAGTTAGTGCCTTGATCCATATTTTTTAATATTCTTTATTTTTGCTGTGCTTAGATTATACAGAATTTGCTTGCAGCGCCACAACAAGTGCAAGCATATCAAAATACGTAGCAGGACTTTTGCATGGCAAACGATATTTTTATAATAATAAACGAGACAATAATAAACAAACTTGGTCAATATACAAAGATACTGTCTTGTCATAAAACTACACATTCCTAATGCAGTCGGTGGCTTATTTTTAAGGACTGAAATATAAACGTAACACACATGATAACAGCAATCCACATTTCCTTTTTTTTTTGTAAGAAAAAGACCTACAGAACTATACATCAAATGGCAGAATATACACATCGTGCCGCACTGCGAGGGTTACATA